GATTTTTCTTAAAAGCTTTACTAGAACTCTAGGATTATAATTGTATAAGATCCTATGGTTACAGGGCCCTAGCTACTCTAGATGTAGAGATATAGAGTTTTGGGGCTAAAAAAATGGAATTTTTTCGTTTTTGCTTGACAACTCTACAACCGAGTTAGCTATAGTCCTATAACTATACAATCTACATGCTTATGTGTGTGCAGCTTCACAGTAAGATTTTAAGAAAAATCTATTTGGTGGTTGTTGAGATATTCAGTTGCCAAAACTCCGCTTTTTGGTGTGTTTTTGGGTGCGCCGCTCGCTTGCCAACCATGTTACCTAACTCTCTTCTAGCTCTTTTTGAACTCTACTTTTACTGCCTTAGGTTAGCTTTATTTTGCTTACTAAGTATACCTTATAGTAACCTTATGTCAGATTGAGGCGAGGTTTTGCTCCATGATCGAGCCGATGGTGGTTGGGGAAGGACATGAGACCCCCAAACCAGGGCTAGCGCCGGGACTTAGCACTGCCAAGCCCGAGGCGAGGCCACCTCCCACAGACAGAGCCGTAGACAGACACAGACAATACACTTGATCCCATCCATAAAAAATCTGACACCTTACCTAAAGAGAAGGTTCTTAAATTTCTAAAAAACTAAAATGTATTAGTCTAGCTAGTCTAGTTCTTTAGATATAGAGCTTAGAAAAAGTAAACTTTTAAAAAGTCTCTTTCTTTTTGTCACCCGACTGTAGATGGAATAATAAAACCTTTGCAGCGAGTTGCATTTAAGTGTCAAATGAAATGAGATGTCACACAAAGTGAATGTGTCAGATAGCAGGGTTACTCGACGTTGGCAGCAACCAATCAGCGTAGAGAGGGTCAGTGCGCCCCTCAAGAGGGCCACAAGCGCGGACACACGATAGACAGAACACAATACAGACAATCATCAACATCCATCACTTTTGTGCAATATCTCATTATATCTGACAGGATGAAATTGATGGTTGTTGATAATTGTTCGTGTCCTCTCTGTTCTAAGGTGCGCGCTGAGAGTTTTGTTCTTGCTAAGACGCTAACTCGTTATTGGCTAGCGGTGTCGGCACTTTCGGCTCGACATGCCTGCTATCTGACATTAAGAGATTTAAGAACTAACTAGGTGTTGTCTATAGACCGGACCTGTCCTGAGGGGGAGTGTTGAGAATATCTGGGTTTAGTCTAGGATAGAAGGTGCTTGAGAGTCACATGATATGCTAGTGTGGCAGGCACTGCCTGGTAGGCAATAGCACCCACCACAACAGCCAAAGTCGGTGACACTCAACATGATAGTTAATACAATACGTTGCAGCCACCCCGCCTTGTCCCTCTCACTCGGTTATCCACAGTAGTCATATTACTAGAGGGACCTTGTTCCAATAAATAATAATAATAATAGGCTATAGCTGAGTGCAAGTCCTGTTTAGTTCTGGCAAGGTGCTCTAGGAGTCTATCCATAGGGTATTTGTTTAGCCATTCTGACTAGCAGTTTTCGCGACTCTAGTCGCGGGGTTCTGGAGGGTCTATTGCGCGCAGTTTGCCTCTTAAGCTTGATAGTTCGGCAATGTCCTTTAGATCTAGAAATGTGAATGACGGGTTTCTTCCGCGGGGGGTGTCGGTTTCAGATCCCTTAGGGTCTATTTCTTCTTGTGAAGTAGGCTGTGGGGCGGGCCTAGAGGCTTCGCGGGCGCGGGTATTGTACTCGTATCTGCGAAATTTTAGGCTATGGCGGGATGTGGGTTCTGTTATCCCTATAGCGGGGGAGTTAATACCTAATGTAGGCAGTGGCTCTTTAGAGGACTTAGAGAGTGCCTTTTCTTGTCTTCTTGCTGCAGTCCTGACGGACTGTAGGTTCAGAGGATCTTCGTTAACGTTTCGCGACATGGTGCGTTTGTTAAAGAAGATCTGTGAAGGATAACCTGTGTAAGAGCGAGGCGCTAAAACCAGGTGCGATTTGCGGTGAGGGAATAGGAGTATACGCCATCCCAAGGCGGGGTGTCAGCACCCGGGGCGGACAGAAGTTCGGTCTAATGTTGGAAATGAGCGGTGTAAGCTAAAATCTCCGGCAAATTTTCTAGGGAGTCGTCTCCCTAGGGCGTTCGATCTGAATTCGCGCGACGCTGGCGCACTATGGCGGGGGTAGCAAAAGGCTGTATCCCTAGGCTGTTGCGTAGCAGAGGCTGTTGCGTAGCGGTTGGCTATCCTCCTACTATTATTATTATTATTATTATATTATTATTATATTTCTATTAGAGTCCTGTATCAGTCGGTGACTATGTAGGACTTTGGCTGAGCCGTTCTATGTAAGGTGGTTGTTGTGGAGTTTCTATAACATGATCCATGGGCGAGCGGCGCACACGGGCGAGCGGCGCACCCCACCAACTTTTGCAACTTTAAAGCGATGCATCTCAACAACGCGATAATATTATTGCTAGATATTGATACAGTAGATTACTCTATATTAATAGTATCAGTCTTGCATGTGCGCGAGTTGTGCCCAGTCTCCTTTGCATCTAGTGCAGCGCCTTTGAGCCCGCT